TTGGTTAAACGATTTATCGAGTGCCACTAGGTGACATGACTTTTGCATATGCATTTAGGAACCTAGTGTGCTAACTTTGTCCCTTGTAAAATGCTTTGAAAAATGCTAACACACGTGCACACAAGTTCTACACTTAGTGGTTAGCAAGTTGGAAGTAAAGGTGAAGTGGTTGTGGACTTAGAAAAAGAAAAAGAGAAGATGGTCCACGACCGGACGCTGGCTGCGGGGTGACCGGACTCACCCCGGGCGTGTCCGGTCAATTATAGGCGACGTCGCTGCTCTGGCCGAGAGCAAGGTGAAGGACCGGATGGTGCCACCTGCGTGTTCAGCCACTTCTTTGGGCGAGCGGATGCAGGCGCCAGCACGTGACCGAACGTGTAGGGGCCGCGTCAGGTCATGGCTGACGTACGCTGGTGTCAGCATCGCAGGTACGCGTGAGAGAACGAAGTAGCGACCGGACTCTGGGGCGTGTCCGGTCAGCTTGGACCTGACGCGTACGATCTCATTTTTCGTGCTCTGGACTCTCTCTGTTGTTGACTGGACCCTGGCGTGGTCTGTGTCTGGTCAGACAGAGAAGCGCGTCCAGTCAACGGTTGACACGCACGAGCTTTGGCGCCTAGCGGTCAAATTTGAATCGCGTGACGTGGCGAGTGCTGAGTGGCTCGGGGGTGCGACTGGACACTAGACCAGCGCGTCTGGTCATCTTGACTGGCGCGTCCGGTCATCTGGCAGAAACCCCCTCTGTGACTCTAACGGCTATATTCGTTTGGGGACGTCTATAAATAGTGTTTGGCTGGCTCTAAGGCAACTCTGTTGGTACTTTGACATTCCTAACATCCTTGTGAGCCTAAGCAAACACCTCGCACTCATCTCCATCATTGATTCATCATTATAGTGAGATTGAAAGTGATTCCAAATGCATTTGCTTGAGTGATTGCATCTAGTGGCACTTGGAGATCGTTGTGGCTGTGGATTTCTTATTTATCTTGGTGGTTGCCACCACCTAGACAGCTTAGAGCAGTGGAGGAGCTTTGGTACAAGTTGATGATTGTTCGTGGCTGGCTCTAGTTATTGTGAGGGGTCTTGTATCTTTCCCGACGGAGAGCCAAAAGGTAACTCTAGTGGATTGCTCGTGTCATTGAGTTACCCCACTTGTGGTAGGTTCTTACGGTGTCCAATTATGTGGACGAGTTTCGTGAAACACCTCTTAGCCGCTGAACCACTAAGTGTTGGTCGACACAACGGGGACTAGCGTGCTGGCAAGCACGTGAACCTCGGGGAGAAAAATTGTTTGTCTCTTGGCTTTAGTATTCTCCCGGTAATTGAATTGACATTCATATTGTGATTGGTTCACTCCTCTATGTGGCGGTATAACTATCTTGCTCACTTCATTACTTTTCCACAAACTAGTGTAGCAAGCTCTTTAGTGTAATTAGTTTTGAGAGCTTGTCTTGCTTGCTAGTTTAGTGTCACCTATTGGAGCTCTTTAGTGTAGACTTGTTGAGAGCTCTTAGTGAGTAGTAACATAGCCATTGTTTGTGTCTAGTGATCATAGCAACTAGAATTGTTGGATATGTGGCTTGCAACCCTTATAGAGCTAGAGCAAAATTGCATTTTGCCATTTAATGTACTAACCTCTTGCTCTAGTGTATTTGTAGAAATTGTTATAGGTTATTCACCCCCTCTAGCCATTTAGTACCTTTCATCGCTGCATTTAATGAATACTACTCTCCGTGTTTAAATATGTGCGTGAATATTTCCCATAAAACTTCATCATAGCATACATGAATGGGCCTCCACTTGTAGTTGGAAATACATGAATTTGAATTATTTTAAGCCCATAATAGAGGATATATTTTGAATTATGCTATTAAATGATCTAATATTGGCATTAGGGGGAGAGAAAGCCTATTTTGAATGCCAAATATTATTTTCACAGAAGGAAAATGATCTTAAAAGTAAAATATTCCTTTGAAGCTTGAAGCATGAATAGTATCACACACTAATCAAACAATAGTTTGACTATTGCTCTTGTGAAGTATGAAGCAAAGCATATGCCAGATATTTTTGAAAATGAGAGGAGTAACTTGAAGTTATAAATCAGAAGTTATGTTTACTACTAGTAAACTAAATATTTTATACTATCAAGCTACAATCTATGGGGACACTTGTGGATTCTAGGTTATTGTATATTTGTTAAATAAAATAAGAAAAAATCCTCCATTCTCATGAAAAGAACACCTCATGAAGAAGGGTTAAGAACCTCATGAAGAGGATCATCATAAAGATGAAATCCAACGCACCAGGCACGTGTATTATTAGTGTTGGGTATGCAGAACAATAAATCATCTCCTATTTGGGAAATGATAAAGAGATAGAATAATCTCACATTGTGAGAATATTGGGAGAAAATAATAGTTGTCGACGACGCTACCTCTATAATTGCAAATGTTTCTCTTATGAGAACCCGGATCCAAAAAACAAAGTCCATGAAAAAGTCATCTGTAGTGATTATATTGGGTCAATGAAGAAAGCAATTGAAGTCAAATCTCCTACTAAGAAGAAATAAATGTTCTGCTATATCTCTAGCAATTGAAATGAATGAATATGAAATATGCAGTAAGTGGATTATGAAAATCCATATAGTTCCTAAAGAATAAAAATCGCAACATATGGAAATTAAATCTCATACTAAGTATTAAAAAGTCTAAGGTAGAATATATTCCTGAATGAATATTGAAGTCTCTAGAAGAACATGTCCTAGAAAAAAAAGTCATTGAACAACTTTGCAGTGAATAACATTATTTCATTATGTATATCACATAATAATCTCTCATGTAGTAGAGAATATATCTTATAGAAGAGATATGTTATTCGCTAAGAATGAAAACATCATTGAAGGAATTAATCCATGAAGGATTTATCGGTCGATTCTTGAATAAACACCATTAACACTTGAAATGAATATAGACCCGAGAGAAAGAAAATGAGGAATCTTAAACACCATGAAGGTGTCATATAAACACTTAGAAAGTGCATGTTGAAAAGCTAGAAATAAAGTGATGATATCCTCTAAATACCATAGAAGGTATAAGAAAATTGATGAATTTGGCAATTGAATTATCCTCTAAATGCTAAATGCAAGATTAGATTTATCATTTAATGGTACAATAAAAATCCTGAAGATTTGTAGAACATATAATTTGAAAATTCACTAGGAAAGAATTATAAGTATTTAAACTCTAGTATAAGTTTGATGCACTATCTAGAAGATATTGAATATTGTAAACTATTTAACCCCATTATTCTCTGAAAGGATTTATTATCCTGAAGGATAAATTTTATTTGCTTTGCACAACTAATAAGTGATCATTTATGCATGAAATATATTGCTCTTGTTTACTTATATTATAATTCATAGAAGAATTGCGAGTCAATATTTTGAAAGATATTTTGTGGTACTGCATACTATTATTAAGCACACATTTATGAAAAGTGTGGTTTGAACAATGATGTTAAAAGGATGGCTTTACGAGGGGGAGTAATTTGATTGAATCTACCTCGAAGGTAACTAAAACCATTAGAATTACACAGATAAGTAGATTATATTTACTAAAACGTTGAAGTTTATGTATTTATCATGAAGATAAATATATATTCATAAAGAATAGAATTCTCTGAAGAATATATGACCAAAAAGGTTAAATGTTATACTTTTTTCTATGTGAGTTTTTATTTGAAGGTTTCTCACACAAGGTTTTTAATGAGACAATATATGCAATGTAATTAACGAATGCAACATACTTTTTCTCTAAGAATCGTTTTGTCCCACTGAATTTTTGGATGAAGTTTTTAACGAAGCATATGCATATCGTGGTAATCGCCCAAGCGGGAGAGTTGTAAAACATACGGACTCTATCATAGAAAAAAAAGAGGGAGAAATTCTAATCCTAGTCCATTTGTAGGTGGACTTTTACCAAACTCTTAGGCCTTGACAGAACTATATATACATGGGAGCTCTATGTTGTAATTACCAATATTCAGAAGAATAAAGAATAGTCTTCCTATTTTTTATGTCTATGTATTTAACTTTTATCCATTATTATTTTAATTATAAGAGACGGAGAGGAGAAAATTTTAACCGCTGCCAAGATGTTTTATAACACATTCAACGGTGACCTCAGACAGATTAGCATTCAGTCCTGGATCCGTAATGCTGCCGTCCTTCCTGAAGCGTTTATGAGAAAGAAATCAAAGGCTGGATGGCTTTTCCCTCGCACAAGCTTCCATCCGGCAACCAATCGATGCCGGCAGGTTGAACAGGCCCACGAGTAGTGGATAAGATCGCAGAAACGGTAGTACCGTACTAGTAGTAATCTATTCAGAAATCAGGAGTGATGGTAGATATTTTCACTAGATCCAACATCGAAGCATATATATAGTACGTTCAATTCAAAATTATTCTCTCCGTGATAAATTACGGGTCATTTCAATTTACTTAAAGAGTCAAAATATCTCAAACTAAGCTAAATTTATATATATAAGATAAGATAATAATATTTATGATATTAACTAGTTATATTTTTATAGTATACTTATTTAATGTTATAAATCTTTATAAAATTTTGATCTTGAGATGCCTTGCTCCCTAAAATTGTTGAAACGACTGAAACGGAGAGAATCTAAGAAGAGTCCCTTTCCTACATTTCCGCTCGGGGCAGAAACCGCGCGCGCGGAGGCGGGTAGAATGTGGTATGGCCAGCCCCAGCCAATGGGCCATCACGCCCTCGTTCCCTTATCCGAACCTGTCTCATGGAGATAGAGCACACAGCCCTGTCATCTGGCACTACTGAAACACTGTCGACATGATCAGCTTCTATATAAGCAACAGACAGGTGCTCGCCGCCTTCTCGATATATAGTGCGCGAGAGAGTGCAGGGAGAGCTAGCTGAGTAGTCATCTTGCCAGCAAGAACAACTGCAGCTAGGATTGGGTGATCCATGGAGGTGGCCGGAGGAGCCGCTGCTGTTGTTGGTGCGTCGTCCCCGCGGCGCGTGGTGGTGGCGGTGGACGAGAGCGAGGAGAGCATGCACGCGCTCTCCTGGTGCCTCTCCAACGTCGTCTCCGCGGCCAAGGCCGCCGCGGCGCCGCCCCCCGCTGTGGTGCTCGTCCACGCCCGCTCCCCGCGCCCGTTCTACTGCCCCTCCATCGACGGTGCCGGTGAGATGATTCTTCTTCTTCTTCTTCTTCTTCTTGGCGTGTTGTTCTCGTGTCCTGATCGAGCATCTGTGACGACGGATCACGGTTCGCAGGGTACATCCTGACGCAGCAGGTGATGGACAGCATGGACCAGTACATGGCGTCCGCGGCGGACACCGTCGTCACCAAGGCCAAGAGCATCTGCACCGCGTTCCCCAACGTACGTGCCATCCTCCTGACCGGCGACAGCGTCCAATTATATTAGCAGTTTCGTTGATCTGTCATAAACGATCCGGCAGGCAGCTGAAATTAATGAAAACCAGAGAGGATTTGATTTTATTTGCCACGCTTGCATTGCAGGTGAGGGTGGAGACGTGCGTGGAGAAGGGCGACCCGCGCGACGTGATCTGCGGCGCCGCGGAGAAGGCCGGCGCCGACTTGTTGGTGATGGGCAGCCACGGCTACGGCTTCCTGCAGAGGGCGCTGCTGGGGAGCGTCAGCAACCACTGCGTGCACAACTGCAAGTGCCCCGTCGTCGTCGTCAAGAGGCCCGACAGCAAGCAGCAGCGGGCGCGCGGCGGCGCGAGTCTTGGCTCGCCTTGAGACTTGAGAGTTAAGCCTGGGTAGTGGGTACCACGCCCTCGCCTCGGTGAAACGTGATGATGGCCCTGTCCCCTGTACATAGCCATAGGAGTACTTAAGCTTTGGTAGTTTCACTCCGTATATAATATGATGTTCCCGATCACTAGCTGTCATTATATTGTCACAGTGTCTATAGTTGCTTCCAATTTGTATATGTAATCTGCGAATGGAACATATTATTCCAATAAAATTTTCGAGCATGCAACACCCCCTTTCACCGCTACATGTCTTATGCAGTTCTGCTTCACCGAGTTGCTTATGAAAATGCATGAAAGACCCTCGGCCTCCAAATAAATTCAAGTAGCCGCAACCTAAAACAGCAAACTAACTAAGATAGAGGCAATTCCAGTTCAAAATATTCAAGAATAATAAAAAAAACTATATAATTCACTCTTCCACCTTGAAAGAGTAAATAATCCTAAATTTTCATCTAAATTGCTCGCATATGCCATTATTAAATAAACTATAATATATTTTAAACATATTGACATACATGACGTGTGCCACCGTACATATTAAGTATACTTGCATGCATGATCCGCAAGTATATAATTTTTTTATAGTCACACAGCAATGACATTGACATTGAAACTTGAATTATATTAGTACTCTATGTAATAAATTATATAAGTTGCTATTTTATATATTTATATGTTTTGATTTGAAGGAAACATCATAACAAATTAGCATTGATAGTTTAGTTATAAGCACTCTTTATAAAGCCAGAGTACACTATTACTCAAGAAAGTATATTTCTTCAAGGAGATTCAACATCTTAAGCATTGTGGTACAAGCTGAAATGTATGCTTATGTTGTTGTAGTAACTGAGAGTATAGTCTAAGATCTCAAATCCATATTTTAATAAAACAGAAAAGGAAGTTTTGAATCAAAGGTAGAATAAGTACTAGAGTTCTAACTTAACACGCAGAAAACAGGAGTGCTGGAACTAATAAGATCATGAGCCACAAAAGAGTTGACGTAACTGAAGTTAAGTACTAAATACATATCGAAATGCAAGCAAAGCGGGAAAATATGAATATGGATGGAAAATCATACAGATTAATTGGTAATGAAGTTTATTACAATCAGATGAAATAGAGCACTCCTGTTTTCTGAAATATGAACAAATAAAGAAAATTAATTTTGATAAGCTATGGTTGTTGAATTTATCCATGAACTTCTAGTTGTATACACTTGTCTTCTAAGATTCTTGGTTGTGCAAGAGCAACGATTGATTGAATACCTAGCGTGAATAATGGGACATAATAAATCCTAAAAATTCCCCAAATATAAGTTTAAGATAATAAGATGAAGGTCTATTGCAATTTGTTTATTCAATTTATTTGACATGTACCAAGAAGTATACAAATGTATCACTCATGTATATATATACATAGATAATACTAAATTCGTTCCAAATTATAGTTCGTTTGACTTTTTCGACCCAAGTTTGACTATTCGTCTTATTCAAAAATTTGTGCAAAATATCAATTCTTTTGTTGTGCCTTGCTTTATTAACAAAAATTCTTCAATAATGACTTAAATTTAACTATGTTTGCACAAATTTTTTGAATAAGACGAGTGATCAAACTTGAGGTAAAAAAAAATCAAACGAACTATAATTTAGAACGGAGGGAGTACGTATAAATTAATTGAATTCAGCAATTATAGCATGCTACCATGGCATACAGTCTACTCTTACTTGACGAATCTAACTAAGGTAAACCATTTTTTTTTTACTTTTGTCTTTTACACTCAATCACATTGCCTCATATGTACTGTGAATTTCTAATATAATTCGGAAGACTATATTACACTTGATGAATCCTTTCACTCTTCTGCTGTAGCTCCGCCGCCGCCGCCTTTGATGAGCTCAAGCGCGGAGTCCACAATGCCTGGGAAGCTCTCACGGTGCTTGCCAATACCGACACTGCCGGAGAAGACATGGTAGCTCTCCAGCTCCGATGTGGTATCGGCGATGGACTCGAGCAGGCCCTCCATCCCCACTCCCCTCAGGAGCTCCATGTATCCGCCACCGCCCGAGCACGTCATCAACCAGATAACCTGCTGCACCACGAACCGCCGCATCCGGGGGATCTTGACCTTCGGGTCCTTGTTCTCCCGCAGGATTGCCGCCAGCCGTTGCACATACGCCCGCTCCTCCACGCCGGCGCCGCGCAACTCGGCAGCGAATCGCTCGCCGTCGATGAACCTGCAGATCTGTGTCGTCAGGCCGACGCACACCTCCAGGACCTGGTCCCTGTTCGTCATGGTGACACCCAGTACCACCGGCAGCACCTTGGTCGCCACGCGCAGCCGCTCCCTATATTCCGGGCCCGAGTAGGCGCACAGGCTCCGCAGCACCCTCGCCGCGTTCAGGCGGCGGGCGTCGTCACCGTCCTGCAACGCCGAGACGAGCTGGAGCACGTCGGCTCGCTTGAGTATCGCCGCGCAACCCGTCTCGCTCTCCAGCGCTAGCATCGCCAGCGCCTTGCCGGCCCCATGGCCGAGCTCTCTCTCCTCGGCACTGACGAATATCGACAGCAGAAGCTTGACCAACCCTCCAGTGCCCATGATCGCTTCCTTTCCGCTGTCGTCCATGGCCAGCTTCTGCAGCTGCCCGTGCCGCAGTATCCCACGCAGGTTGCTCACCACGAAGGCACGAACACGTTCTCCGCGACGCCCTGCCGGAGCGCCTTGCCTGTGTTGCCCGTCGTGGACACCAGCATCTTCACCACCTGGAGCGCGCGCTTCACGGCGCGCACCTGAGAGTCGGTTACGTGCTGGTTTCGGAGGAGATCCTTGGAATCCTGCGTGAAATCGATGATCTTGGCGAGCAGGCCGCGCGCGTTGCTGATCTTCCCGCAGTTGTCCTGGTCTCTGGCGAGCTTCTTGAGGATGCGTAGGCCCAGCAGGTTGAACGGCATGTAGTCGTAGTCGCGGAGCCCTGGCAAGGGCCCACCCTCACCGGCAGCAGCGTTCGGTTGCGGGTGCATGCCGGACACGGCCGCGCTCCGGCCTGTGTAGAGCAGGGACATGACGGACTCGATGGCGCCGGGGATGGCGGACAAGCGGAGCGCGTTCTGGCGCTTGCCGGCGAGCTTGCAGACGACCCCCGCCGCTGACCGGCGCACCTCCTCCTCGTCAGGCTGCTTCCAGTTGAGCATCTCGACGAGCCGCTCGACGGACCGGGGGCTAGTACCGACCTTGCGCAGCGTATCGCCCGCCGAGTCCACCTTCTCGGCGAACTGCTCTAGGATGCGCACGCCGATGAGCTGCTCCTCCAGGAAATCGGACAGGATGAGCTCCTCCGCGAAGGTGACGAGGTCCATGTTGATGCCGTCGAAGATGCTGCCAGTGACGCACCGGGAGTAGGCGTCGTAGAAGAACCGCGTGAGGGACACGTGACCGTACGCGCCCAGCTGGCAGTCCTTGCTCACCTGACGGAGCAGCTCGCAGGAGAACTTCCATGCCCAGTAGGCCTTCTCCAGAAGGAAGAGCACCGCCTCCAGCAACGCCAGGGTGTAGAAGAGCAGAAGCCCAGGCCTCATGTTGCCGCTGCTGCCGAAGTCGTGCTTCTAGAGGCTGATCAGCGAGAGCGCGACGCAGGCCAACGCCGAGAGCACCTGCAGCCAGTTGAGCAACCGGCCGATGTTCCTAGAGGTGAACACCTGGCCGGTGTAGGGGAGCAGCGACACACCATTTGGCGCGTGCCCAGTGCGCTTCTTCATGACGGCCGCGATCTGGTTCTGGAACCTCGCCGACGTCGTCGCGTCGCCGCTGACATCTGCACCGTCCGCTGCCGGCTGGGCCAGGGAGTGCACGACGCGTCGGAAGAACCGGGAGCTAGAGCGCAGCGCGCCGCCCGCGTCGGTGGTTTGCGTGGCGTGCTGATGCGGCTCCTGTTCGTCGCGGCCGCCGCCGGTATGGTCGACGAGGGCGTGCAGGATGCGGCGAAAGAATTGGGAGCTGGAGCGGAGCGCGCCGCCAACGGTGGAGGTTTCCGTGGCGTGGTGCTGCCACTCCAGCTCGTGGCTGCGGCTGAAGACGCGCGCGCCCTCGCCGACAAGGATCACGGTGATGCACCAGAAGTCGGTGATGTTGAGGCTGCCCACGAAGCCGCCGAGTAGCACGACGGTGGCCCACACGAAGTCGAGCTTCCCGAGCCCGCTTGCCGCCTTCTCGAGGATGGCCACACGGAGCGCCAACAGCGTGAGCTGCTTCTCCGGCGGGTCGCCCTACCATAACCAGCGCTGCTGCCGCTGCGGACACTTCCGCTTCCAGGCGTCGGCGTCCACGACTCGGAGAAGGGCGCCGACCCGCTGCCGCCGGGGTGAACCGTGATGTCAAGCTTGATGCTCGGTGGCAGATCGCCGCCGCCTTTCTGTGACTTGTAGCCATTGGAGTCGTGGCGCCCGACGTGTATGCAGGCTCACCGGTTATTCCAAGAAATGGAGCAGCTGCCGCGTCAAATAGAGCGCATGAATTCGAAAGGAATGGAGACGCGGCTCTATATGACGATTGTTTGTAGGTTGGGACATGGAAAGTTCCGCGAGGAGTCGACAGTTCTTGGAGCGAATTCAACAAGGATTTAGCGTGAACAGTCAAATCGCGCAGGAGGAGGGAACTGACGAGAAGGAGATCAAAAAAGGTAACGGCCCTGTCCGCTTCTCTTGTAATCTATATTTTTTTAGTTTGTTTTTTTAATTAAATTAGTATTTTTTTTTTATAACAAATTAGCTGGAACAGTATTTCGATTTATTTTTTTAACAAAGCGAAATGGTCCAACGTCCTGTGTCTTCGCCTGTGAAAATGGTGGCGACGCGGAAATTTGGAAGAATTCAAGATTGAACCCAGTTGTAAGAACAAGCGGACAATAACAATCTGGCAGTTTAGGGAAAAAAAAGAATGAAAGAAAACTGTGGAAACGAAGGTTCTTCTGAATATCTGATGAAAGATCTTTCCAGTGGACATCGCCTAATTGTACGGTGATGATTACATCTGCCAGTTTTTTTTAACGGCTAGCGGTCTTTTCACTCTCAAGATAAGTGCAATCTCTAGCTCATTGGAACTGCTCTTCCACCCTGTCGCTGGCAGCACTTGTAGAGAGGATAGTGAAGTCTTCGAAGAGAAAAAAAAAAAAGAAGAAGAGAGAATTAGGAGCTAGCCCTGAGTGCTACCCGTGTTATTAGGTTGGAGGTTTTCTTTGAGCCGGGGTTGAAGACTTGTTACTCCTGACGATTCCCATTACCTAATGTTATTAAGGAGGACTGGGGGACTTTCCTCAATGTAGTTCTCGTTGACGGAGCTACAATGTCAAGAATTTAGGTATTTTCATGTTTAATTTAATTTAGAAAAAACAGTAAATTTGTGATAACAAATATGTGCACGTGTGAACTACTAGTGACAACTATTTTTAATGAGGGATTAGGATCTTTGACACAAGTGAAAAGTCTCCAATCATGTTTAGGAGAGCCCAAAACCTACAATGTCAACATAGAGATTTAATTCAGAAAAAGATTAGAAGTATAACAAATATGTGCATGAGGGACCTAGTGACTCTATGATGAACATCTTGATCATGTTTAAGAGCCCAAACACGGTAAGATTAGAAAAATTTGACCTAATTTAAAAATCACTAAAAATTTAAACTTTTTAAAACTTTGCATAGGAACTAGAATATATAACCAACATAGATAATATTTACTAAATAAATTAACAATAGGAAACAAAACTTGATGTGTGAAACTTGGTGTGTGAATGTTTGCTTGACTTGTTGAACTTATGGTGGTACACTTTTGCAAACCCATGCATTCAAATTTGAATTCAAAATCATTTAAATATATGCATATATGATATGGTTGCTTTAGTTGTTCAAGGAATGTTGTCGATGTGGAAAGAAAAGCTACTGGGACAAGAATTTGATAACTTGGGTCAATTGGCTCAACGAATAGCAGCGCTCAATAGCCAATTCCAGAGTATACGCAGAGATACCCGATTCCAGAAAAGTACCACAGTAGCCAAAGCTTATGATCCATACTCGGTCGATGACGGCTATGAGGATGATGAAGAAGAAGTTGCTGTAGCTGAGTGGAATTGGGGCAAGAAGACAGTAATGGTGCCAAATCTTTGGGGATGAGGAGTTGAGGAGAGCTATGACTTTGATGTCACCAAATAAGACAAGCTCTTCGATTTCTTACTTAAGAAAGGGCAGATCAAGTTGCCCGATGGTCATGTCATGTTACCCTCAGATCAGTTGAAGAACAAGAATTTCTGCAAGTTCCATAATGCTATTCTCATTCCACTAATGAATGCAGAATCTTCAGGCAGCATATACAGAGAGCTATTCAACAGGGGAGGCTTAAATTTGATACGCTTCGGAAAATGAAAGTTGATGATAATCCTTTCCCAGGAGATCAAAACATGGTTGATGCTAGGCTATTCAAAGGAAAAACTAAAGTTCTAACATCAACCAAATCAAAGGAAGCTGAAACAGTCAACCCCAAGATGCAAATATCGGCTGACGAGTACAGAGAGATTAGAAGACGTCGTGCTGAGCAAAAGAGCCGATACGAGCAGGGGAAGACATCAAAAGCAGAGACAACGAAGCCGCGGGTCACATCTCGGATTCTGTTGAATAAATGGCAGCGGTAGAAGGAAAATGATTATCAGCGTTGGTTGAAAGATCAAGTGTACCAGCATCAATTGAAAGAAGAAAGGTATGAAAGGAAACAAGCCAAATTACATTGGAATTGTCTTTTCTTCAGACATTGCTAGAATGAAGGTTTGAAGTTGCCTACCAGACATGACTAACAAGAATGCAGCAATCAATATCGGGAGTATAGGTAGTCTCAAACCAACCGCCGGTCTATCCATGCCCAAGATGCATATCATCATAATAACATGGATTGACGCTTGAAAAATAAGAGTGTTCATAATCGTCTTGGAAAAAGAGTCATTGATTAGGACTGAGCTGATCATGAAGAGGAAGGCACTGAAAGAAAGTATGCTTGGCAGGAAGGCCAGGGGTGCCTAGGAGGTTTAACAAGAAGCCAGAAGAGAAGGGTGCAACGCCAAAGGAATAAAGAGATGGAACAAGCTTAGATATCCGGTAAAATTCAAGTGTGGCGTACCAAATAAATAGCCGATAAGAAGCAACCATCGGCTAATATCCAAATAGATTTTCTGTTGCCATCGGAATTCAGAGCTCCGGCAGATCAAGAAGTTTATTCGGATTTCGATGAATCAGAGTATGAGGAGATAGTTGCCAAGTTAACGGTTGTACAACAAGCAATATTTGACAAACCAGTCAAACATCGGCACTTGAAAGCTTTATATATGAAAGGTCTTATCGATGGGAAGCCGATGAACAAGATGTTAGTGGACGGAAGTGCTTCTGTCAATGTTATGCCTTACACTACTTTTCGTAAACTTGACAAAGGACCAGAAGATCTGATGGAGACTAACATGATGCTTAAGGGTTTCAAAAGTAATACATCTAATACTCGGGGGGCAATAAACGTTGAACTAACAATCGGGAGTAAGACTCTGCTCACCACATTCTTCGTCATCGATAGAAAAGGGTCGTACAGTTTGCTCCTCGGTCATGATTGGATTCATGCAAATTGTTGTATACCATCGACCATGCATCAGTGTTTGATTCAATGGCATGGAGATGACGTTGAACTGGTTCACGCTGATGAGTCCGTGAGCATCGCAACGGCTGATCCAGTCTTTTGGGAACTAGGAGACTTCGAGTGTTTTTCTGGCAAGTCATGGGAAGGAGGCTTCATTAAGATCAGCAATGAAAGCCAACAGTCGATGCAAGCGATCGGCTCTGAAAGTTTGTTTTAGTAGGAAAATCATGACTTCACGTCGGCCGTTGGATTAAAGGAGAAATAAGCATTGAGTCTTGAAGATAGGTTTAGGCCGATGTAGGTGAATGCTGAGTTAAAGTGTAAGTGCGATTCAGAGTTAATGAATTTCTTAAAGAAGGTCTCTTTCGTTCAATTGGAAATTTGGCCTGGGTTGATCAATCGTCTAACCTTTGATATGAAAAGTTCTACGGCAAAATATTTAAAGGGACATTATCCTAGCATCCGATCAACATTCGATAGCCGATTCATTCTCGGCTCTAATGGCTGGTACCAGAAAGGTATCGCCTCTAGTTCAAAAAATGAAAGTTTTCAAAGACAATAAAAGCCGATACGATATGTATCGCCTATAGAGCAAAAACAAAAGATAAAAATAGTCATACACAAGAGCATTGTGTTGAGGTACATTCACGGAGAGAACAGGAGTCTTTGTTTATCAGATGACCCTAGATACAAGCTAACCAAAAACCTTGTTCACCATGTCCTGGGTGGATGTGATGTCTACTATGGCCTCCGCTGCCATGACAAACTCTTCAAGCAGGTCCTCATGCTCCTCAGGGCCATCACCTATTGGGAAACTAGTTTCCATGGCATGGAGCTCGTGCCCAGTCTGGACTTGTGCCACGGTCAGCGCCACCGCCGTGCCATGACGAATGCCGTGGAGGGCGATATCTCGAATGCGGACCGGGACATCTTGGAGACGAGCGTCGATAGGGGAACCCCGAGCATTGAAGGTGTCTACGGCCGCGTTTGCCGCCAGTTGGAGAGATTCCAACTGCGCTGTTAGGGCTGACAATCACAAAACCAAGAATACTATCGAGATGAAGATAATGGAGGTCGCAGTAAAAAGCCTTCATGGAGTTCATCTTACCCACCACCGTGGCGTCGGATTTGGCCAGCCACGCTCGGACGGCGCTGGCCTCCTCCTCGGCTACATGAAGAGCGGCCTGAGAAACCCCAAGGTGGATCTTGAGTTGGCCATTCTCTCGAGTCACCTCGGAGTAGCGGTTTTGAGCCACCCTCCACTCCTGATGGAAGCGTCGGGCGTCGTCGCCATTGTATGAGTCAGAGGAGTCCGACGACGAAGCTGGAGCAGAAGATACAATGTCAGAGGGCTCGCCGGCCCTGGGAAGAGGACGAAGGCTGTCGTTCATGATGAACCTAGAAACAAGGTAGAAGAGTTCATCATTGTGAATAGGAGATTTACAGATCATCGCCATAAACAAGAAATGTCAATCTCACCTCATGCATCGGAGACGCTGGTTCATCGGCATATTCTCCTCCGGGATTTCCTCCGCCGCGCGCTTGCCTCAGTTGTCTTTGCCGGCCATGGAGGATGATTAGATCTACGAAAGGGAGAAGGAAAACCGC